ACACCTGTCTGAGCAGGCATTCTGGGAAGGCATGTTGCCTCTAGACTGAAAGAGTTACGGGGCTGTCTGGTTTTAAAGAAATCTCACGATAAAAACGTTCTTGCGCCAGTAGGTTCAGCCAGGGCTAACAAACATAGGATTTCTTACGTCTACAATACCTCTGGCAAAATGCTTAAACTGGAACTGTACCAACCAGTCAAATGGCTGTATCTCAGACAGATTTTTAAAACAGTTCACCTAATAATTTTTTCCCTTATCAGTGCTGATGTTGCCAAAGATATGGTAGGTTCGGACTCCAGGAAGCCCCCAAGAAGGAACCTCCAGAACCAGCCAGCCACTGGGAAGGGAATGCTCAAATTCTGCATCAGCAACAGGGGTGAGGTAGGTGAAGTGAAAATCCTCACGATAAAAGAGACTGAGCAAAGAAGAGGCAATTGAGAGCTGCTGAGAATGAGCAAAGGTAGGGTGAAGGATACATGAAGCACATCCAAATAATAAATGCAAGAAAAATGGCAATCTAGGCCGAAAGAGTAGTAAGAATCATGTTTCTAGGACTGAAGACTCTTCGTAACTCTGGCATACAAATCATGAAATAAAAGGGTAAGAAAGAAGCCTACTGACTGACAGAATTAAAATCGCATGTTAAAGGAATGCCAGCAGGCTTGGAACTCCTCCTGCCCTGGAAAAAGGCACAGGAAGAGAAAAACTTAGTTTCTTTTCAGCTGGAGGTACAGATTATAGCCAACAGAATTAATATGCAGAAAGAGAAGACGGGAGGAAAAGGAAGGAAGCAACCTCAGAGAAAAGTAAACTGCCTGCTAAAACACTTTAGGAAAATCTGAGAAGCAAAGGCCCCGGCAGGGTGGCCCAGCAATAACTCCTCTGTACCAGGGTTTCTAATGGGCTAGATCCCCAGGGAGCCGACCGCAGCATCTCTGTCACAGCACTTTCTGCCAGCCCTCCCGCACCCACAGCTAGACAAGGACTCCTCTTCCGTGTGAGCAGCGAGCCCAGCTGGGCTCCTTCACTGCAGGTACACTCCTGAGGTAGTAACTTCTTCCCTAAACATTTTCTACCCCAGTTTTTAGTCATCCATTTTAGACAATTTGATATTTGGCTTGAGGGCAGTTCAGGCTTTCCAAGACAGAAATAACAAGCCCTCTGCCTCAGTGCTGATGTCATTCATTCAGAGGTCACTCAATTCCACAATGATTTGCGTGACAAGTAGTATTTTATTGGCAGCGTTACATCAGATCTTCTTCCTGTACTGAATGCACGGCACGCTAATCTGGCAAAGCTGAACTCACGCTGTTCTTCCTGAGCCGTACAGGTATGGTTTACTACATTGAGCAAATGCTATTTCTAGGACAATGACAGTGATTATGGAACACACTGTACTGACATCCCTGAGAACAGGTTCCTGGGGAATCACCTCTGTGCTAGCAAGTACAGCAGCATAAAGTTATTCACAATTAAAATACCCAACAGCAGTAACTGACATGTAATTCAATGCACAACACTTATGGCGGACCCTTTCGTTTCCTTTTTTTCCAAGAAAGGGGAATCTGCAACGTTAAAACTTGCTATAATACTTTAAAAGATAATGTTTGTTCATGACCCAAAAATGCATGATTTCAAAATTGATCATTTGTTTCACTTTTTTAATTTCTTTCCCCATAGTAAGATAAAATGTGAATATTACATAAGCACAAATTAATTTCGCGTATTTAAATGCCATAAATCACAGACAATAAATCTTAGGAGGTGAATTAGGAACCTGTGTTACTTTTTAAAAGCTTGAGTTAAAAATGGCTTTACAAGAAGTAGAACCAAAATACCTAGCTTTCACAAATGGGAGTAGAAAGAGCAGACTATAAAATATGCATTAATGTATTCATGCATTTGGCAGTATAACATGCGGAACGTCAGTCGTGTTTCAAAAGAAAATTCATTTCACCAC